GCAGCCTCACCAGCACCTAGAGCAGCAGCCTCAATGTCCGGGTCAGGCGAAACACACAGGTAACAGTCACCCTCATCACTAGTAGGCAATGCATATATGGCAGTGAGGATAGCATCATAGTCAAGAGTATAGATATCTACCCGCAGCCTAAGCAGCTCCACCCAGCCGGGGAGCTTAGCAGCATCGCCAAACTCTGTACGCCAGGCGTCGCTCAGACGGGCAAAGCAGCGGGACTCGTTGTGACCAAACGTCCCGCCAGGCTGACCAGTCCGAGCACCAGTGCGAATGACGTACGGACAGCGAGCAGTACCCCGTGACCCGCCACGCTGAGCGTACCACTCACGAAGCGGCTGGGGCGAAAGGACCGCGCACGGACGACGCTCCAGCTGCACCTGGCCACTACAAGCAGCTGCTGAACTACTCACTCCATGACGACTCCCACTACGGCCACCCCGACAACCCCAAGTAGCGTACCACTCACGAAGCTGCTGGGGCGTGAGGGACTCACGCGGACGTTGCTGGAGCTGCATCTGGCCATCGGCAGGAGCAGCAGGAGCAGTGGTAGCCGCAGTAGTAGGAGCAGTAGCAATAGCAGTAGTCGCAGCGCGGCCACCCCTATAACCCCAACTAGCGTTCCACTCACGAAGCTGTTGGGGGGTGAGGGACTCACGCGGACGGCGCTGGAGCTGCATCTGGCCACGCTAGGAGCAGCAGTGGCAGTAGAATTAGCAGTAGCAGCAAGAGCAGCAGTAAGAACAGTACAGGCAGGGCAGTGCTCACCAGTGGTGAGAAGGGCAGGCGGACGACGGCGGCAACGGCGAGGCCGCTACCATTGTAGGGCGAGGGCCCCGCGGCAACTGCAGGGGCGGCTACTCCAGGGGCGGCAGTTGTAGGGGCGGCTGCTCCAGGGGCGGCTGCTGTAGGGGTGGCTGCTCCAGGGGTGGCTGCTCCAGAGGCGGCTGCTGCAGTTGCGGCTGCTCCAGGGGCGGCTGCTGCAGGGGCGGCTGCTCCAGGGGCGGCTGCTGCAGGGGTGGCTGCTCCAGGGGCGGCTGCTACAGGGGCAGCTCCTCCAGGGGCGGCTGCTGCAGGGGCGGCTGCTCTAGGGGCGGGGGCGGCTACTGCAGGGGTGGCTCCTCCAGGGGCGGCTGCTGCAGTGGCGGCTGCTCCTGGGGCGGCTGCTTCAGGGGCGGCTGCTCCAGGGGCGGATGCTGCAGGGGAGGCTGCTCCAGGGGCGGCTGCTGCAGTGGCAGCTGCTCCAGGGGCGGCTGCTGCAGTGGCGGCTACTCCAGGGGCGGTTGTTGCAGTGGCGGCTGCTCCAGGGGCGGCTGCTGCAGGGGCGGCTGCTCCAGGGGCGGCTGCTCCAGGGGTGGCTGCTCCAGGGCCGGCTGCTGCAGTGGCGGCTACTCCAGGGGCGGCTGCTTCAGGGGCGGCTGCTCCAGGGGCGGCTGCTTCAGGGGCGGCTTCTCTAGGGGCGGCTGCTGCAGTGGCGGCTGCTCCAGGGGTGGCTGCTGCAGTGGCGGCTGCTCCAAGGCGCAGGTTAGGGCAGGGCGCCGCGGCGGGGAGGGGTGACGCCACACGGGTCCCGCAGGGGCGTCGCGACGCACAGGCCTCGCGGGTCCCGCAGGGCGTCGCGACGAGGCGGGGGCGACGCGGCGGGGCCGCGACTGGCGACGGGGCGAGGCAGCTACGGGCAGCGGGGCGGGGCCGCGAAGGGAGCCGCGAGGGGGGCCGCGAGGGGGGGGGGGGACGTGAAGGGGCCGCGAGGGGGGCGCGAAGGGGGGCCGCGAAGGGGCCGTGAAGGGGCCGCGAAGGGAGCCGCGAGGGGCCGCGAGGGGGGCCGTGAAGGGGCCGTGAAGGGGCCGTGAAGGGGCCGCGAAGGGGCCGTGAAGGGGCCGCGAAGGGGCCGTGAAGGTGCCGCGAAGGGGCCATGAAGGGGCCGCGAAGGGGCCGTGAGGGGGCCGCGAAGGGGCCGCGAAGGTGCCGCGAAGGGGCCGTGAAGGGGCCGCGAAGGGGCCACGAGGTGCCTGAAGGGGCCGCGAAGGGCCGTGAGAGGGGTTGTGAGAGGCCGTGAGAGGGGCCGCTACGGGGCCTTAGGGGAGCGCGACGGGCCACCAAGGGCAGGGGACGCGACTAGAGGGTAGGCACACGGGGCGCGACTCTGGCAGGGGCGAAGCGCGCTCCGGGCAGGAAAAAAAATCGATATTTGGTGGGCCCTAGGAAACGTTCCCACTAGGGAACCTGCTCTATACCATGTGAAAGAACGAGGAATGAATGAACTAGCAAGCAGGTGGGTACAAGTAGGAAAACCTAAAAGTGTCTACCCCACTACAGCCTACACAGACTATTGCATATGAGTTTGACATGGACTACAGGAGTAACTGGCTCCGCGGAGATTGTAGCCTCCTGACTGGAGCAACTGACCCATAGGCGATTGGCGACTACCGGAGATTGTAGCCTCCGGACTACTGGCGCTGCTGACGACACGACGGCTGCCTCCACTCAACCTCCCCCAGCTGCCCCACACCCCTATCACACACCCCCTGCTGCACCCCTAGCTCCACTCCCACGACACCCCCTAGCACCACTCCTTCGGCTCCCACACACCCACCCCCCTGAGCGGCAGCTGCAGCAGCGGGAGACGGAGGAGGAAGAGGAGTAGTGGAACGGCGCACAGAAACTGCACCCCCATACCCCCCACCCCCAAACCCTAATTGAGGAGAACGGGCAGCAGCAGGGGTGGGGCGCCGTCAGAAGCACGGGGGACAGCGGGCAGCTCAGGGGCAGAGAAGAACGGGCCTGGCACAGCCAGACGAACCGCGCGCAGGCAGCCCGAGCCGCGCGCGGGCCTGGCGCATGCCGTACGAGCCGCGCGCGGGCCTGGCGCAGCCCATACGGGCCGCGCGCGGGCTTGGCGCAGCCCGTACGGGCCGCGCGCGGGCCGGGCGCAGCCCGTACGGACCGCACTCGGGGCTAGCGCAGCCCGCGCTGGCCGGGACGGGCGACCGGGGACGACGGGCTGGTCCCCGTCGCCCGTCGAAGCGCCCTCCGGAGGCGACGCGCGGACCGATGGGGCAGAAAGCCGCCGCGCGCCTTGGGCGCACAGCGGGCAGAGAACCGCCGCACGCCCCGGGGCGCACGGCGGGCAGAAAACCGCCGCACGCTCCGAGCGCGCGGCGGGAAGAAAAATCCGTCGCACGCCACGGGGCGTGCAATACACAGAGTAGCAGCGGAAGCAGTTAGGTGGACCCACAGGCTAGGAGCGTAAATGCTCTGAAACTATGTTACAATGGTAAGCACAGTGAGGAGCCATGGCTAGGGTTTAGCTAGTTAGGCAAGAGAGAAATTAACAAAGGAGGACTTTCACTAGCAGCAGTTGGGATACATATAGCAAACCCTAACAGGGTTATACTCGCCATAGAGCACCCCACTACAGGCTAGATAATAACATTCTGACATTGTCAGTTGGCTTCGTGCGTGCGTGTATGTGTGAATGTGTGTCATCATATGTATGTGTTGTGTTGTGTGCGTATGCGTTTTCATTCATGTTTCCATTGCATTAATAACACATGTCTGTGGGTTTTAAAAATTGGGATCAAACTATCATTTCTGAGAAGGTTCTTTGCGCACTCAGTGAGTGTGTCCATTCGAACTGGATTTGATAGAATTGACCCTTTTTTTAGATCACACAGGTTGTGTTGTTTCATGTAACACCTGGATGATTCAGAAACTATGCTATTGAGCTCCCCCCCATGCTAGGTAGGGGATGCGGTAGCATAGGGTCTGCGTCAATTAACTGTTACGCATTTCCATCATGCTATGCATTAATTTCACTACCGGTACTATATGCATTATACTTATGCATCTGCATTTACTTCATCTACGCATAATAGCATCAGACATATGCATCACGGAATAAACAGTTACGCGTTCACAGTACATCATTTTGGCAACTCATGAAATATAGGTTCAGTCAAAGAAAACTAGGAAAAGAGAAGGAATGTGGTTCAGCACGTGGTAAATTGACACGGCAATACATAGCAATCAGTCACTTAGCTAGTAACGTTCACTAGATTTTTTCCATCCTTTATTTTGTGGAAGTATGGAGGATTGAAAAAAAAATTGTACAAAACGATTGTAATAGGTTGCTTCGCAACCCAAAAAAAAATCACACAGGTCAGAACGCTGAACGTGGTGCACTAGGTATGTTCCAGAAACTGGGCTGTCCATTTGCTGCAGCCATCAGGACCAAAGCATTTGGAAGCATCTGTCATCCCGCTGCGAGTGCTCTTCAAGGAGTTGTAACTTATCGCTAGCGATGCTCCCCCCCACTCTCAGGCATCTTTCGCGCAAAATGATATGACCTCCCCTCCCCCTCCGTGACTGGCGGTTTCACGATGACGTGGAAGGGCGGTTGGTGGTGGTGGTGTTCGGGGAACAGTCCTTCTGCTCGTGAATTCAACAAAAGACGACGACAGCTTCTGTGCATCTGTTGCAATGTGCCGCAGCGGTTGCGATGAGGACCGAAAATTTCCCTGCACCGACTCTCTTGCTTCATTCTTCCTCGATCCCAAATTCCTTTCTGATGCACTCCACGTTGCAACCACGGGCCTGACTGACATCAGCCTTTCCCTTCTGAGCTAAGTTGTCGCAGCAGCGGATTTCACAACAGCCACAACAATGAACTGCGAGGCGATGTTTTCGGGTGTAAGTGGGGACTGGACTAAACAAGTCACGACTTCCTGTTCATCGCATTGTTCCACACCCATTACACCATGAGTTGCCTCACTCTTCTAGCTCGTAATGCTTCACAGTAAGTTAGTACCCGCTAACATCCCGTTCTAGTTTGTCTTAGAGGCGTTGCGATGACCCTCATTGAAAAGAAGAGAGGCCCGTACTCGATCTACTGCCAAGCAGACGTAAAATAAGATTCGTTAAACGTACGCAAGTCCTTCAAAATCAACTAGTCGACCTTACAAGTATCAATATCGTCGCGTCGCCTCATGTCGCACCTGCCTCAGGGAAACCTTCTTCCGCTCATCCGCGCTGGCGACATCGTCTCCATCTGGCATGACGTCATCCTCTTCGCCTCCCCAGGCGCGAGTAACTCTCCGCGGCGCGCCTCGCCGCGCGCCGTCTCCGCTTCTGCAGCGCGGGGCAAGCCGGCGACTATTCCCCTCCTCAACTTCATCTGCACTTCTTCCAAGTCTAGTTCGTTCGCCGCGTCGCTCGCCGGTCGCCGTTGCCGTCTAGCGCTTGACGGCGCCGTCAAAGTCGACGACTCGGAGCAGCGGCCGTGGAACCTCGGGATTATCCCGCAGACGTGCGTCCTCGGGCCGTCCCCCGTCTCGCAGGAGTCCTCCGCAACCTCCGCCACCGCGCTTCCCGACGTCGACCTTTATGATCCACTCGACTCCTCTGCCGCCGATCCCAGCGACCCGTTCAGCCGTTCCGATGATTGCGGCGAGTTTCCCGTGATTCTGGACAACGCGCCGTTAGAGGCGGTGGAGGTGGGCGCAAAGGAGCGCGACCCGGGCGACGTGTTCCCCGTGCTGCCGCTCCTCGCGCTCCCCGTGCGCCTGCGGTCCGGCCTGGGGACGGAAGTTTCGTGGAAGCTGGTCGTTGTGGCGGCGGATGATCCGCTCGTTCTGGCCAATCAGGTGGCGACTATAGTGGAGACGATTTTACCGAGAGTTAAAGGCTGGGCCGCGGGAGGGTTCGGGGGTTTCACGGGAGGATCAGGGGGAGTCGCTTCCGACCATTGGTGGATCCCCGAATCTCCGCGGCGCGAATCGGACGACTGGGAGGAAGCTGCGCGGAAGGCGCAGGGCGTGGTTCTCGAGGCGCATAGCATATGGAAGCTGCTGGTTCCTTCGCTCCGCCGCCCCACGCTGCAGCGACGGCAGCGCGTGAGCGAGCGCACGGTGGATGGCTGGCGGGATAAGCGCGGGGCGGGGGACGACGACGAGAGCAACCTCTTGAAGCTCATCGCACGACCCGGCGCTAGCGGTGGGCTTGGCGGGTTTGGCGGGGGGAAGTCCCGCGGCGGCGGCGGAAACGGGAGGGAAGGGAGCGGAGCGGTGGCTGGGGCAAAGGGAGGGCTCAGCAGGGGGAGATGTTCCGCCGCCGCTGCTGCGGCGGCTGTTGCGGCAGCTGAAGGGCGCTCGGCGCGCAACGAGAGTGATATGGGAGGCGGGGAGTGGGAGGAGGAGGAGGGGCGAGACGAGGGAACGAGACATCTGAGTCGGACGGCGGGCGGGGAGCATTCGCGTGGCAGCGGCGGTGGAAACAACGGCGGCAGGAGCAGCGCGGAAAGCAACAGCAGCGGCTCCGCAGGTGGGAAGCGCAGAGGCGTGCTGCCGCAGATTTCGCCGCGCTCCTTGTCGATGACAACCGTCGCGGCTGCGCGCGCGCTCGTGAAAACCGCCACGTGGAGCAGGGCGTCTAGTCTTAACGGTACCAGCAGTGGTCATGGTACTGATGGTAGGAACGGTAGTAACGATAGCATAAGTCCTGGGAGTAAGAGCTTCGGTGCAAGTGCGGGTAATCGCAGTTTCACGAGGAATCGCGGCGACGAAGAAACTTGCGCGTTGAATCGGAGCAAAACTTGTAACGGAGCTGACTCTGCGTCTACCACCCGGGTTCGGCCGCGTAGCAAATCGCCTTTGCCGCGTCCGTTCTCGTCCAACTCTCGTAAGAATTCGCCACCAGACGCGCGAAACGCTCATTTTGACGATAGTTCGCTAGGGCATGGCGCTGGCGAAGGGCGACGCGGCTCCTCCGTTAGGGTTACCTCAAGTGAACAAACTGAGTGTGCTTCTGGAGGGTTTAGAAAGTCCGGTCTTGCGGATGAGCTTGGCGAAATTGACGACACTAGCGATTTGGGTGAGGTCGTGAAGGGCAAAACCGACGCGCATCGTATGTGGAACAGTGGACGGTTGGGAATGTCGTTTGGCAGCAAGTCAGGTGATACCTCCACCAGACCCACCTCCTCCAAAGCAACCACCCCCACCTGGGGAGGCTTGGGCTCCGGCTTTTATAGCGGGCCGGTGTTTGGTAGGTTGAGTAAAAGCCGGACCATTAAAGAAAGCGACGGGCAGCCGATCGCAACTTCACCAAGCGGGGCTTGGCAGGGGAATGAGGGCAGTGGAGATGGTGGTGAGGGAGATTATGGTGGTGCAGGCGGTAACTGTTTTCATATCGGTGACGGGAGCGGTTACGGCATTACCAGCGGTGGTGGAGAGCGGGTGCGGAGTGGGGCACGGGGTGCGTTCAGCAGGAGCAACACGGCATCAAGCACATACAGCTTCGTGAGCATGGGGAGTATGGCCAGCAGCCACAGTAGCCGCTGCAGCAAAAGCCCTGCTGCCACTCCAGACCTTCCTGCTGCTACTGCTGGGTATCACGGTGCGGGCAAGAGTCACGGAGTCGACAGACTAGTGCTCGATGGGCGGAGAGGGGAAACAGATGCGACGGCTCGTGCAGGAGAAACAGACGGCGGATGCCGCCCATTCACCCCGCCTATGGGCCGGTCAAAGACCGAACCGAGAAACCGTGGTTCAGGGCGATCGGGGCAGGGGCGACCGCGCAGGGTCCTGTCACCCACTGATGCACACGATGCTGCTGCCTCTGCTCACAACAATCACCACAATCACGACAATTACGATCATGACTCAGATGAGGATGATTCAGACGATGACGACAACTTTGCATTCTCTCAGCCCACTGCACCCTATGGCCTGATCCCCACACCTCACAGCCTCACCCCAACACCGGGCGCCACTAGGCGAATGTCGGAGTCTCACTCCCCTCTGCCCAGCCCGCCCGTGCTAAATCGCCGCTGGTCCCTGGCCTCCAGGACTGGCCCCACAGGGGAAGGAGGGGCGGGGCACCGTGGCCGGAACGTGTTTGTTGCCTCTGTTGGGGATGGGGGTATGGAGGTGGATGGTCGGCGGGGCAGTCGGGGACGGGATGGTGGGCCGGAGGCAGCAGAGAGGGCGGCAGAGGAGTGCAGTGATGACTGCTCCAGCCAGGCGAGCTCTAGCCATGCTAGTGTTGAGCATGCCAACAGCCACTACGGACAGCAACTGCGGGAACGGAGGATGCTGCCCAAATTACCCACACTACCCAAGTCACCCTCTCTGCCTAAATCACCCGCACTGCCCAAGTCACCTGCTCTACCCAAGTCATCTACAATGCCCAGGTCACCCTCCCTGCTCAAGTCACCCGCACACCCCAAATCATCCACACTGCCCAAGTCACCCTCCCTGCCCAAGTCACCTTATGCAGGAAAGAGTGGGTTGCGAGGGGGGGTCTGCATGGAACGACCACATCCTCCTGAGAGCAACCCCGTGAGGGCATGTGAGAGCAGTGTAGGAGGGAGCAGCATGGGTGTTCCTTCTGAGGTGCCGCAAACCAGAGGAGGCACCAGGAGGGGTGTGCGGGGCAAGCAGCGGGGGCAGCAGCAGCTGGTTCCAGAATGCGTTTCCACCGAGTCGGAAGTTCCTATGAGATCAATGAGCCCTGGCAGTAACATGCTCGCCAGAAGTGTGTCGTACGATCAGCCATCGCCGCAGGTAGCAGCGATGATTGCTGCTGAAGCGCCGTTGCCGGAGCCACCAGGCCGACGATTTGGATGGAGCCAAACAGAAGCCAGTGACAGACTGAATGCGGCAATGATTGCTGCTGAAACGCTGCTGCCGGAACCGCCAGGGCGACGATTTGCGGTTCGACCCAAGTCCAGCTGTGAGGTGAGAGCCGGAGGAGGGGTTGGGAGGAGTTTGGAGGAATGTGATGTGCGCTCTCGTCCTCCTAAATCTCCTTTGGCCAGAATGGTATCCTCTGGGGTTCTCCTTGCAGGTGGGGCAGGCAGGCGATGACCTTAGGAGGGATTTGTGGAATTGTGGTGGTGGTGGACGAGTGATGCTGGATAGGACTTGTGCTTTCAATTAATGGAATAAGCTCATGTCCTTGTTTTATCGATCTTGGCATCTGCCAAGTCTGTGGGTCCTTTTTTAATGAAATCAGATGTAGTTAGGGTACATTCCGCTGTAGATTTGTGTCTCAATCGATGTGTCCCAATCGATTGAGACGCGTACAGCCAGCATATGCTGCCAGGTGTCGAAATGCCGTGGCGCCCGTCTTTGTCGCCGACTGTATTTATCATAGGCTGGCGTGATTCACGGAACAGTCGCCCGCTAATTGCAACACACCCAAGGACTCGCGAACGGCACCAAATGTTTCAACAGGCATCATGTATCTGGACCACATTTTGCGAAACTCAATTTCCCCCCAAACGCGTACAATGCGTCCTCATTGGAGGAAACGAAACATGCAGAATTATCGACAGGGACGCGCACATTCCCGCCAGTCCGCGGGCCCCCCGTTCTCGTGCACCTCCAACACAACTCGTGTGTGATGTATTGCTCTTCACTCTTCTCCCGCCACATTTCCCAGTAGATTTAGATCTAGAAGCTGTCCCACCGGCCCGCATGGCACGTAAGCGTAAGGGGGGGGCTCTGAACGACTGCCCCAAAGACCTAAACGAAATCCCGTACATCCGCTGGATGAACCAGCAAATCGCCAACGGTCGTCACCCCAGGGGCTTGTCCGCGCCACCCGTAAGTGACAGTCAGTGGTCTACTGCACCGTCGCCCACGGCGGGGCCGTCCCGTGTGCGCCGCCAGCCTCCCAGGACGGCGTCCACACACTGACGGCTATGTCCCCGTTGTGTAACCTCTCCAGTAGTGCACTTTCTTTAAAAACCCGCATGTCGTGCGCGCTCCCGGGATACCCTATCAGGTAGTCCCATATTCGCCCCCGTGCGTCACAGGTGAGCTGGAGTTGGACGGCATAAGCAGATTTCCGTGTCCAGTACTCTGTTCTATGACCCTCCATCCCCTTCATGTGTACATGAGTGACGTCCACAGCACCCACCACAGCAGGTATGCCTTTGACGGCTGCAAACTCCCGCGCCATATCTGGAAGGTCTTCACGGGTGGGGAATCGCACCCAGGCGGCCTTGAAGACGGTGGGGAACTCCGACAGAAATACGTCGACGAGCTCGTGGCATAGAGTTTTGGAGACGCCGAACAGGTACGAAATGTCGACGTACGAGATTCCGGAGGCCAGGTACTTGATTGGGATTAGCACTGCAGTGTCCAAGGTGAGCATGGAGCGTTGCACTATTGGCTCTAGGTAGTGTTGCAGCCCAGCCTTGATGTGCTCCAATATTGATTTATTTATCCTGAAAAGATCCTGAAAGTCGTTCTCACGCATGTGTTGCAGATCTTCAACCCATACAGAGTGTTTTCGCTTTCGTATCCTCGCTCTGTGACGGCGGTTCTCGCCGTAATCATCCCCTGTGGATGAGGACTGCTCTTCCTCTTTCTCGAAGACACCTGACTCGATGAGGCCTACAAAGCTCTTGGCCACATTTTCGTGAAATATGGTGTAGTAGTAGGTTACCCAGGCGACGAGTAGGCGTAGGACGAATGGGATGGGTCGTGGCTCTGCCATATTGTGTTCATTGGACAGGCGTATTTTCCTATTTCTGTGTTTCTGGAATATAGTAGCTCCTTGTGTGTGCTTCGTATTGCCATAGCACCCACAGTCGCAATTATTGGATGTGTTGTGTGTCTTCCGCGGTCTCCCCGTAGGCCTTTGCGCTCTTGGAGGGGAAATGGGTACAAATTGGACGGTGACCAATCAGCTGTGGTCGCACATAATTGTCGCTTCACACAGCCTAGTCGCAAAACATCGGTCAATTGGGACATGCAGATTCGGGAAAATTGGGCGTGACTCGACGAAAAGTGGATTGAGACATTTTGATTGAGACACAAATCCACAGCGGAATGTACCCTTAGTGTACATAATGGCTAAGTAGCCTCAGTAAAAGTTATCATTCTGTTCTCGCTAGTGATTCATTAGCAAAGAAAAGTTGTGGGTGTAGATGACCTATTCCAATGCGTAATCCATTGCACCGCGAAACAAAATCAACGCGACAGCTGCAGCTTGCGACGTTTTCGCTAGCATCCATCCATCACCATCACCCGCTCGCCCGTCACTTTCGCTCTTCGTTTCTTTTCGTCGTCACCGACGCACGGATGACTAGACTCGAGGCCGGGAGAGCTCCGCTGTTACTGGTGCTCCTATCATTTCGCTGCAACCCTTGGCAAATTCTGTTCCGAATCCACACCACCATACCTTCGTTCCTAGCCCCCTTCTCCTTGCCGACCCCCTCCCACCCGCAAAGTTCCCTATCAGCTTCAGGCGCGTCCCCGTCCCTCCCGCGCCTCCGCCTGCGACCCAGCCGACGCTCGCTAAGACGTCGCAGAGTTTGTCGCGTGATGTCTCCTACCGCCTGTCATGCTGTTGCTTCCCATCCCACCGCGCCGTCGCTCGTTTCTCTATTTGAAATTCGCTGGCAAGGCCTTGACGCGCAGTCGCACGCGGTATCGCACGATCAGTGGCCTACGCAATCGCACGACGATAGTACAAACGAACGGCAGGATGTCCGACAGATTGAATCTACCTTCTCGCTCGGTCGCTTAGTGCAGGGAAAGACGCAGCAGCAGTACCAACGTCCTGAAATAGAAACAGTGAAAGAGCGTACAGTAGAACAGCAGCAGCAGCAGCAGCAGCAGCAGCAGTTTCAGCCAATGGGGTGCTTTCCTTCCCGTTCATCCTTCGACTGTTGCTTCACTAATAGTGTAAAAACAAGTTCTATTATCGAGAGTAGGGGCAAGTTTGCGAGCCCAAACGGCATGCAGAGTGGCTTCGATAGTACGTTGCCGCGTTCCACACATCACCTCAGTTATCGAGTTTCTCAGAAGCGAGGACAAGAACGGTCAGTTACTGAAGCTGGTGATATAAAGTGCGGCAGCGGCTCGTATGGTCTATCTAAACTAGTCGCACAACCCCTATGGGCCGATTCGTTACATACTGCTCCGTTAGGAGCCTCAGCACCATCATCATCGTTATCTGAAAACAAAGAGCCAGCTTCAGAAAGGGTACATGAGGTTCCTGACGAAGTGTTACGGCAAATCTTCAGCCGTCTGAGCGTGGTAAGCTTATATCGAGTCAAAAGGTAAAGTTGCTGCGTTTCTGCTGACCTCCTCTCCTTCGTCCCCCTTCCCCTTCCCCTTTTCTTGCCCTGCCTCCATTCGTTCCCTTCCATGTTTTCCTATTGCGTGCCGTACGGTGCTCCTCTGTCCATGCCTCAACGCCCCTTGCTGCTGCCCTGCGTGATCCGTGAGTCTGACCCGTCTTAAAATCCTGCTGTCTCTGTACCCTCCTTTCCCTTCACGATCTGGGGCTGACCTCCCTTGTGTGGCGACTGAGTGTCGCCAACTTTTGGAGGCACCCCCGTGGTAACCACCATTCTGACCTCCCCTGCATGGCGGCTTTGAGTCACCTCTGGCGCCCTCTCGCCCTCAACCCCTCGCTCGCTGTGCTGCGTTGCTCCCCTCCCTGTTCTCTAGCCATCCCTATCTCCATCTCGTTCTCTCTACACCCATCCCCTCGCCTCCACATCACGCCAGGCTGACCTCCCCCGAGTGACGCTGTGTGCTGCTGCTGGCGCCCTCTCGCCCCCAACCCCTCGATGTGCTGCGCTGCGCTGAAATCATTTTTTTTTTTTCAAAAGTGATTTCAACATCCCTTTGTTTCCCTACTCCCCCTCCCTGTTCTCTAGCCATCCCTGTCCTCTTCGCGTTCTCTTCCCACCATCCCCCTTCCCTTCACATCCCGCCAGGTTGACCTCCCCCGCATGGCGGCTGTGTGCCATCGCTGGTGCCCTCTCGCCCCCAACCCCTCGCTGTGCTGCTCTGCCGTCATCCCTGTCACCATCCTGTTCTCCTCCCGCCCATGCCCTTGATGTTCCGTCAGGCTGACCTCCCCCACGTGGCGGCTGCGTGCCGTCGCTGGTGCCCGCTCGCCCTGGACCCCTCGCTGTGCTGCGCTGCCTTCTGCCGCTCCCACGGCCTGCTCTCCCTGCGTCTCCCCTCCTCCGCTGGTCCAGCACCACCAACGCCAGCATCAGCATCTGCATCAGCATCTGCATCATCATCATCAGCAGCAGCAGCAGCAGCAGCACCAGCACCAGCTGTAACAGCAGCACCAGTGCCAGACGCAAAGGGGGATAAGCTATCATCCACTCTCCCCCCTTCCGCCTCCACTCCTGCAGCGCGCTCCCGTGCGCGCTCCCAACCCCCTCCCCTCCCCTCGTCCCCGACTCCTCGCACCGCCCGCCGTGGCCCCCCCTCCCTCCTCTCGCTCCTCGCGTCACCCGAGTTCGCCCTCTCGCACCCCATTGGCCGCACTGACTCCATTGCCAGCCTGGCAGTGCGCTTCCACGTGCAGGTGGGTCACGCTGACACGTGGCATCCTGATGGGCCTGCCACGTGGGTTGTTTAAGATTGACACCATCCCGTGCCCGCACCGACTCTGTCACCCGTGCATGTGTGCTGCGCATGCATCTGCGATCCCATGTCTATCCCATGTGCACTCTTTGTCTTCTCCAGGCCATGGACATCCGTCACCACAACAACATCATGAGCGACCATGCCCTGCCCTCACGGCTCATGCATATGTGCTTCCCGTGCCCATGCATATGTGCTTCCTGTGCCCATGCATATGTGCTTCCTGTGCCCATGCATATGTGCTTCCCGTGCCCATGCATATGTGCTTCCCGTGCCCATGCATATGTGCTTCCCGTGCCCGTGCGTATGTGCTTCCCGTGTCCATGCATATGTGCTTCCCGTGCCCATGCATATGTGCTTCCCGTGCCCATGCATATGTGCTTCCCGTGCCCATGCATATGTGCTTCCCGTGCCCATGCATATGTGCTTCCCGTGTCCATGCATATGTGCTTCGTTCCCCATGCATATGTTCGCCCCCCCCAGGCCATGGACATCCGGCGTCTCAACAACATCATGAGTGATCATGCCATCCACACGCGCACGCGCCTCCTCATCCCCATCCCCCCCTCGCGCCGCCCGGCTGAGCTGGCGGGGCGGCATTGCGCCATCCAGTTTGATTCGCACGCGCGGCGGGAGGTGCTGCTGGTGTTCCAGGAGGGGGAGGAGGCGGAGATCCGGCAGGCGTATGGAGAAGCACGAAATGCCAGGTGCTTATATCGAGAGTGATTATACGGAGAGTGTTAGAAATATGTTAGTGATGCGGAGAGACTGATTATGTGAACAACTCTGCTGATCCTCTTGATAAAGGTATGATATGCATTTCTTGTCTGGATTTTCTTTGGCGCCACATCACGTCTTGTGGGTGGCATCGCATCATGTGAGTATCATCAATCATCATGCTCGCACAGGCCAAGACTATCATCAATCATCATGCATCCAAGTTACCTTGTGTGTGTTTCTTCTTTTTGCTGGTGCCAGGCCGTTGTGTCATTATGCCATCATGTATTCTGCCATTGTATGCCATTGTACCATAACACCATGATGCCTACCTGCTTCTCGCACTCCCTCCGTCTCTCATGCCCTCAGCGACATGTGGCGCTAGGCAGGTGGCTTTTTTCAGTCACTAGCAGCACTCAAATGTCATTTTTCTCCTCTTGTTACTCCACCTGCTCCCCACTCTCTCTCCCTCCCTCAGACCCTCGGCAGCACATGGCACTGCGCAGGTGGTTTCTCTGTTGCAAAGAGCCCTTCAGGTGGACGAGCCAACAGCGCAGTACTACCTGGGCGAGGCGGGCGGCGATGTGCGGGCGGCAGTGGCACTGTTCATGGAGGACCAGCTGTGGGAGCGGGCGCAGGCACAGGCAGGGGAGAGGAGGAAGAGCCTTGTGATTGGCTGCAGGAGGGGGAGAGCTGATAGGTTGTAAGGTGAATTTCCTTCTATGCTTCGAGCTGTCCGCATGTGAAGCTACGCAGTGCCAAATCTGCATATTCCGCGTGATGTGATGCCTCAAGCCGCTCGTGTGGAGCAAATGCAGTGCAGAAGGTGAAACGGTGGCATCATGGTACCTTGTAGAGAAACGGACAGAGGGGCTCCTGGCCAGGTCCAGCAGGGCCCGACAGCAGCAGGGTGCAGCTGAATCCTCATGGTCAAACCTAGGGAGGTCATCATGCCATGTGATCCTGTTGGATGGCCTGTATTGTCTGGGTAAAGGGAAAAGTGCCAGCTACCTAAGAGAAGCTATGCACAGGAAGCAGCAAGAGTAGTCCAACATCTACGACGTTCAGTAATCATTCCCCATGTACGCAAAGTCCGTTGCCGACGGAGGGGTAACCTCCGAAGGGGTGGTGCTGGTACCTACTGAGAACCGAACCTGTGCTCGCCTGCAGACTGTACGGGCCTGCTCACGCTGGTGGACAAGGGAAATGCGCTTGTAGAAGCTGGTCTCAAACAATTGCGGAATGAGGTTGGATGAACCACCCAAGTCACGAAGGTGTGAAGCACCACGGCGACTGCACTCTTGAAGGAAATCCTGGAATGTCTTCCCAAAACACCCAAAAGTCTCAAAAGCAATTGCACAACAAGTTTTTGAGTACATGAGACTTTCGACGAGTTTGGGGCATTTTAGGTTTGGATCCGAACCAAATTTACAAACTTAGAAGGTTCGGCTACACCTAGCTATTTGGATTCGATTAGTACCCCAACCAATCACAAACAAACTTGCACTCTCAACTGCATAAAGCCCGTGCCTAGAATGGCAAGGGTTCATAAATACTGAACTTGAAAAGGGTTGCGCGACGGTTGACGAGGGAAAAATTCGCCTGAGGAAGTTGGCGAAGGCAGAATGCCCTAAAGTGTATCGCAACTTCAACTTCAACTTCCCGAAACTTGAACAAACAGCTTCGACAAAACCAAACCCAACCACTCTCATGTAGCTCACAACCCGGATTTCCGCCATGTCCACAAGGCACTCTCTTTGAGCAGCCTGAGAAAAACATGCGTAAGACCAGATAGAGCATCAGTGTTAGGAAAATATGAAGTATCCGGAGTAAAATAGCTAGGTATGACATGTGAGAACATATGCTTTTATGCCGGAATCGAGAGGAATCCGAGGACCGAGGTAGGGAATGTGGCTCGAATGCGAGTGTGAAGCAAGGAGATATTGTGCGAGATGAGAAATTAGAGCGTTGTCGAATCCCCTTCCCCCGTCCGTCCATATCTCGCATCCACCGTCCGTCGCCACAGCTTCCCCCATCCGTCGCACCAGCTTCCCCCGCCCATCGCCCTCGCTTCCCCCGCCCATCGCCCTCGCTTCCCCCGCCCATCCCCCTCGCTTCCCCCGTCATCGCCCTCGCTTTCCCCTCCCGTCGCCCTCGCTTCCCCCTCCCGTCGCCCTCGCTTCCCCCTCCCGTCGACCTCCCATCTCCCTCCCGTCCCCCTCCCGTCCCCCTCCCGTCCCCCGCCAATCGCCCTCCCGTCCCCCTCCCATCGCCCTCCCGTCGCCCTCCCATCCCCCTCCCATCCCCCTCCCATCCCCCTCCCATCCCCCTCCCATACCCCTCCCATACCCCTCCCATCCCCCTCCCATCCCCCTCTCATCCCCCTCTCATCCTCCTCCCATCCCCCTCCCATCCGCCTCCCATCCCCCTCCCATCCCCCTCCCATCCCCCTCCCATCCCCCTCCCATCTCCCTCCCATCCCCCTTCCATCCCCCTCCCATCGCCCTCCCATCCCCCTCCCGCCGCCCTCCCATCCCCCTCCTCTCCCCCTCCCAACCCCCTCCCACCCGCCTCTCATCCCCCTCCCATCCCCCTCCCATCCCCCTCCCATCCCCCTCCCATCCCCCTCCCATCCTCCTCCCATCCCCCTCCCATCCCCCTCCCAACCCCCTCCCACCCCCCTCTCATCCCCCTCCCATCCCCCTCCCATCCCCCTCCCATCCCCCTCCCATCCTCCTCCCATCCCCCTCCCATCCCCCTCCCATCCCCCTCCCATCCCCCTCCCATCCCCCTCCCATCCCCCTCCCATCCCCCTTCCATCTCCCTCCCATCGCTCTCCCATCCCCCTCCCATTCATTCTGCTCATCTTTCCGTCCTTATTTTCCTGGGTCAATCTGTTTCCCCTGCTCATTCTCACTGTGTTTCTCCTGCCCATTCTCTCCCCAACTACTCGCTCTGTTCCTCTCTGCTCACTCTCTTTCCCCCTGTTCGCTATATTTCTTCCTGTTCACTCTCTCTTCCACTGCTCAATCTGTTCCCCCTTTCACTCATACCCATCTCCAACCACGCAGTGTACAGGTCCCAGGCCCCCAACACCACAGGCCAAGGTTGCATGCAGTGTAGCAAACAAGAACGGGGAGAAAAAAAATACATTTCCTAGCTGTCTTCTTCGTGTCGATAATCAACTGCGAATTTTGTTGCACTTTTTTGTAGTGGTCATGTGCATGGCTGCTCTCAGCTCAAAGTTTGTAATACCGGCATAACAAAGCATCCAAGATCCAAACATTGCATGGCAAGTCATTATAGTAGTACTATCAAACTGCCAACCAACACATCACCACAGCACCAGCACTGATGCAAAGCGGACCTGTACAAACACAAATCAGGAAATTACATGTGAGATGGCTGAGCAGCAGGGAAGCATACGGTGAAGGGCAGCACGGATCGCGTGCAGAGGAGGGAATGGGAGGGGAATGACAAGGAATGCAACAGAGAGGCAGGGGCAAAGATTGAAGGGTGAGCAGGGGACAGCGAGCAAAGGACAGAAACAACAAATGTATGAGTGAGCAAGGAACAGGGTGAGCAAGATGACAGAGAGCAAAGGGAAAGTGAGAGAAGGACAGAAACAGCAAAGGAGTGAGTAAGGCACAGAGTGGAAGGGTGAGGGATGAGTGTCAGGGTGGGTATGGTGGAATGGGTGGTGGACAGATGGTGGAAGAGTGTGACGTGATACCAATGCAGAGAAGGCAAACGAAAGAGACTATTTGATTGACCTCCCAACTACCTTACCTGAGAGGGAAAAGAGGAGAGGGGCTGAGAGGGAAAAGAGGAGAGGAGCTGAGAGGGAAAGGAAGGAGAGGGGATGAGTGGGAGGGCGGCGAGGCGAAGACAGAGAAGGGAAGGAGGGGGACAGAGAGGGAAAGGAGGAGAGCAGCGGAGAGGGAAGGGAGGAGAGGGGAGATGGGAACATGTGTGAGCATGCCGTGTGTGACGTGTGTGAGTGACAAAGGAAGATGGGAAGAGGAGGAACGGGGAAGGGCGCAAAGGGGGAAGAGGGGGAGAGGAGCAGATATGAGCGACATGTGCTAGTGAGTGGTGTGTGTCACGTGTGAGCGACATGTGCGAGCGACGTGCGTGGGTGACGGGAGTGAGAGCGCGACAGTCACCGAGAGAGCGACGGAAGTGAGAGCGCGACAGAAGTGAGAGAGCGACGGGAGTGAGAGCGCGACGGAAGTGAGAGAGCGACGGGAGTGAGAGAGCGACGGGAGTGAGAGAGCGACGGGAGTGAGAGAGCGACGGGAGTGAGAGAGCGACGGAGTGAGAGCGTTGCGGGAGTGAGAGAGCGATGGTAGTGAGAGCGCGACGGAAGCGAGAGAGCGACGGGAGTGAGAGAGCGACGGTAGTAAAAGCGTGACGGAAGTGAGAGACGGAGTGAGAGCGTGACGGGAGTGAGAGAGCGACGGGAGTGAGAGCGTTGCGGGAGTGAGAGCGTTGCGGGAGTGAGAGAGCGATGGGAGTGAGAGCGCGATGGGAGAAAGAGTTTGACGGGAGAGAGAGAACGACGGGAGTGAACGACGGGAGTGAACGACGGGAGTGAGGGCGGGCCTTGAGTGATTGCGGACCGGCATTGAGTGCGGACTGGGATAACCTTCAGTGGCGACGAGTGATTCTCACGGTGGCGATCAATCTGAGGGTCCTGTCTTTGTCCATGGCTACGAGATCGGATTTGTTATGCGCGAAAAAGTCGCCGGGAAGTTTCATCTGTATGTGCTACTAACGTCTTAGCATAGCGCGGGGAGATGGGCGTAACTATGCTGGCTACTGACGAGAACTTGGGCTATGGAGCCCACTGAACTACGAGTCTAGAAAGGTATTCTCGAGTTTCAAGTTCCAGAAGTGTGAACAGTGGTACTTGTCCCTGCTTGTTTCTCGCGAGGCTCGTTGGTGTTTTTGCTGAGGGGCATTTGGCCAATCACCTTCTGGCCCACCAGCTCCCTTCTCGGTGAGTCGCGAGAGATCAGCTTTCTGAACCTGGTTACCCTGTTCTTGACGAACACAAGCTCAAGAATCTTGAAGTTGAACCCTTACCATTCTAGACTCGGGCTATAACACTTGTAGCACGTGAGACCCTGACCTTAACGAGAAACGATAATGTTCTCACTGAGCCCAGTTTTGGTTCACTGAGGGCAAAAATTACCCCAATTCTCTTTAGTCTGCCGTAAGTTTGAATAGCGCCGCCCGTGGGGCTCGAACCCACGACCACAAGGTTAAGAGCCTTGCGCTCTACCAACTGAGCTAGGGCGGCTGTTATTGCTATAATACTTGTTGGTATAAAATTTGACAGCACCACTACAAAAACACTAAATATTTACACCAAATTTCAATATGTGGTTTCTAGTTATATTTTATGCAAAGCCCAAATAGGTGGAAATTCGAAGCAATTCTAGAAGGTCCCGTTTACTGGGTAAAGCGTACGACCCATTTCAGCCACAAGATGGCTACGAAACAGAGCCCCACAAAAGTCCTACAATGGAATGATTTCGCACGCGAGGAGGAAACATCAGATTCGTGAAGCGGCGACTTTACGGCAGGGCTTTTCTGTTCTTTTTGGTCACACTGCGAGGATCAGAAGATTCGGGCAAACAACAAACTCCTTCAGTGTATGGGGTTCACGGTTGGAAGCCGTGCTTAGGCTAGTTTCCTGGTCATGTATTCTTTCAATAGGGTATTTCAAGACATCAGCGTAGTTCCCCGAGTGGAGATCGGATCGTCACTAGTGTAGGAATTACAACTTGTGAGGATGAAGTTTCACAGGAATTTACTGTGCAGAATTCTCTGCCGGGATCTTATTCTCAAACTTTAAGGTTCATCATACACTCTGTAGGCAGCTCCCAGCGGCGGTTCTGAGGTGATGGGGCAGCCGCGTGGCAGCACGAGAATGTGAATTGTGGCGGAACGGTAGAGCGTTCGATCGATCTATACGTGGCCGTGAGCGAAAGATTCGACGGTGTAGCCACCAGAGCCACCCGTTAGGACCAGAGGGATTTGGTTCATGTTACGGAGCCAGAGACATGGCTCCAAGCGCCACACTTGAATGAGCAGCAGAAGCTGCCATGAGTGAGTGAAGGGTTTGCTTGTTTGTCTCACCCGCTGAGCAGAAGCACAGCAGCAACAGCAGCCACGAGTTCAAGAGGATGCGCTCAGTGCCACGTCTCTTGATCGATCCTTGGTTGAGATCCAGGAACCGTTTTTTAGGGTTTGGTTTGTTGTTTCAAATCCCAACTAATATCTTCTAGTACAGAATGGAATATTTGTGAAGTCGCGATCTGAGGGTTTGCGTGTGAGAGTCCGAAGTCTCAAATGGAGGAGTTGTAATGAAGCAAAACTACCTCAGATTGGTCTTACAAGCCTTGCTTTGAGGTAGACTTTGTCACGCGTCGCTCTCGCTTTCAGTCAGCTTTCGTCTTGGTCGAGGCATTGAACAGCACAAACGGGGAACCCTGTGTAGCTATCGCTGGCGAAAGAAACGAGAATTTATTCAGTTGATAAAGTACAATACTGTATAAAATGAACCGCCGTCACGATCTTGCGCCACGCCGGCTGGAGCCGTATGCCTCGGTAGGATGATGCGACACTGAACCCAATTCCAAGGCTGACTGTTCTCGCGATTTTCTGCCAGATCGTTAACCCGACGTTTGATTGAATGACATAGTACAGTTTTGAGGCGCCTCATACGTTGGAGAGAGTGGCATAGTACAGTGAAAGCCTGGCCGTTTATACTTCGCTGCTGGTTGGCAGGTTTAACGAAGCGAATTGCTAGGAGCGACCCACCAATTGGCCTCTAGAAAGGAAATCAACCTTAGCTTCTCACAGCCGATCGAGGGCCCGCTGTGGGCCTTCTGACCAGTCTCCTTGCGCGTGCCGAGCACATGCCTTCATCCCGATCACCCACTCCGCCATCCGCCAATTCCCCCACTCGTCCCGCCTCCTCACCCGTCCCCGGCCCCCCACCCTCTTCCCTCCGTCCGCTCACGCTTCTGGCTCCCCTCTCCCCCGCCGCGCAATTGCCTTCCGCGGGGCAACCTTCCCCCGCGCCAATTACGCTCCTCCCATCCCTGCGCAACCTCCCCGGTCCATCCTTCCCCAAGTCCCCCTCCCCGCCGTCAGACGACCCACCATGTCTCCCCGCCGACCCCGGCACCACGCTTCGCTTGGTTTCCACCACCACCGCGCTCTCCCCCGCGCTGCTCCCTTCCGTTCCGCCGCCCGACCCCCCCGCGCGCCGCATTAGCCCGCCGCTGCCCCGTCGGATGCGCAACATCAGTCACGTAGCTCCGCGCGAGGGGTCGCTATCGCGGCAGCTGCTGCGGCAGCACGTGCAGCGGGAGCAGCAGCGCAGCAAGTGCCAGCGGCAGCAGCAGCAGGAGGTATTGCTCAGTCAGTGGCGCCGCCAGCAGCAGCACGATCTCGCCGCCGCCGCCGCCGCTGCCACAGCTTCCCCTCCCGCTTCTGCTCCCGCTCCCGCTCCCGCTTCCGCTTCCGCCGTTGCCTCCGCCTCCGCCTTCCCGCCTGCCACAGCTGCGCCAGGCGTGGGTACGGGTGGGAGGGAGGCGGCAGGAGGGGCAGAGGGCGAACGGGTATTTACTTTCATCGGTAGGCGATCGGCTGTAGTCGGTGAGGGTGTAGGGGACGCACTGGTGGGGATTAGGGCTGACGCAGCTGATCAATTTGTGGCACCTGAAGCACCTGATACGGCACCTGAAGCAGCACCTGACGCGGCACCTGACGCAGCACCTGACGCGGCAACTGACGCAGTACCTGACGCACCTATGGATATGGATCCGTCGCAGCAGCACCTGAGAGAGACCCGGCCGGGGGAAGGTCGCAATGACGCGGATCTCGACCCCCGCGCGCGCCTTATGCGCCCGCCGGCTCCGCCGTCCGCCAGCCGTGGCGGGGCGGAAGGCGGGATGGCGCGGGAGCGCGTGAGACTGATGGGCGCGGTACTGCGGGCTGCGCCTGGCGCGCACGCGGCGGGCGGTGGGGCGGAAGGCGGAAGAGTAGGCGCGGGAGCAGTGAGATCCGCGGATGGGGTGGGCGAGGGGAACGGTCAAGCGCAATGGCTACCGGCGGGTGGGGACGAGGGGGTGGGGGACGGGGTGGAGGACAACGAGGCGCGCCGGAAGCGCGCGCGGACGGAACGGCAAGGCGGAGAGGGCGCGGCAGGCGCGGTGGGTGAGATGGGTTATGGCGGGGCATGGCGGGGGGAGCAGGATAGGGGCGGAAGTGCGGGGTTGGGGGGATTGCAACATGAGGGGCAAGGGGCTGGGCAAGGATGGCCGGGGGAGGATGAGCGGAAGCCGGCGCAGGATCAGGCGCGCGAGCAGGGACAGGGGGAACAGGGGGAACAGGGGGAGCCAGGGGAGGAGGAAGAAGGGGAGGAGCAGGCTCAGGAGCAAGAGCAGGCGCAAGAGCAGGAGCGGGAGCAGGAAGGGGAGGAGGTAGGGGGGGAGGATGAGGGGGAAGGCGCGAGCATTCGGCAGCGGCTGCTGCAGCAGCACAGGCAGATGCTGGCGGCGGCGCAGCACTCGCTGCTCATGCGCGGCGGCGGGGAGGGCGCGGAGGGCGCGCACGGCGGTGTGGACCTTCTGCAGCAGCAGCGCCAGCTGCAGCGCCAGTACTTGCGCCTGCTGCAGCGGGACATGCGCGCGCATCTTAACAGGGGGACGCCCGGGGGAGGCAGGGGGCGGGGCGGAGCGCTGGGGGCGGACGGGCGCGCGGGTGTAGCAAGCGCAGGGGGAGTTGGGGGACAGGAGAGGATGTGGGCGGTAGCTGGGGCCGCGGCTGGGCGGCGGGGGCAACAGGGGCAGGTGGGGCATCAGGGACAGGTGGGGCAGCAGGCAGCAGATACAGCTGGCAGGATAATATCGTCTCCAGTCGTAGTAGCAGGAGCACCGTCGGCAGCAGCGCCAGCAGCAACGGCAGCAGCGGCAGCAGCGCCAGTGCGGGCAGTTTCGCCCACAGGCGGCGTGAGAGGCGAGGCGGCGCAGCGGGTGGCGGCAGGGGGGTGGCGGCGGGACGTGCTGGGGGACGGGGTTGCGCGCGCGGATGCAAGGCGGGCAGGCAGCGGTGTGGATGAAGGGGCTGGAGAGGAGGCAGGGGCGGAGGCGGAGGGGGCGGCGGAGGTTGAGGGGGAAGGGGAAGCGGGGTGGGAGCAAGGAGAGGGGCGGGGTGACGGGGGAGAGGGCATGGGCGCGGAGGTGTGGAACGAGCCAGCTGCTGCGGGGTGGGAGCAAATGATGGGTGAGACCCGCGCAGCAGTGATGGGCGAGACCCGCGCAGCAGTGATGGGCGAGACCCGCGCAGCAGTGATGGGCGAGACCCGCGCAGCAGTGATGGGCGAGACCCGCGCAGCAGTGATGGGCGAGACCCGCGCAGCAGTGATGGGTGGCGCAAGGCCACTGGTGGGTGAGCCTGCGCGGGCGGCGGAGGGGTGGTTCCACCCGGTTGTGCAGGCGGATATACGGCGCAGGGCGCAGCAAAGGGGTGCCGCTGCTGGCGCAGCTGCAGGTGGCGCTGTTGGTGTGGCTGGTGCTGCGGGCGGTGGTGATGCTTATGGTGGTGGTAACGCTTATGGTGGTGGTAATGGTGGTTTCGAGGAGGAGGCAGGAGAAACGGGCTGGGGGGAGCGCGAGGGAGCAAGGGTTGCGCATGGGGCGCATGGGGGGGCACATGGGGCGCATGGGGCGCATCCCGCGCCTGCTGTACCCTCAGAGCGTGTGCTTGTAACGGGGCCGTTCCTCTTTTCGACGCAGCAGCTGGGGGGGCGCGCGGAAGAGGGGCTCCGCAGCAACTCTAACGTCTGTGCGTCCCCCCGCGCGGGGGGCATGGGCGCAGGCGTGGGGGAGCGCACGGGGAGCTCGCTGGACGAGACTGAGGAATCGGAGGGGAGTGGCGGAGGCGCGGGGGAAGGGGGAGGCGGAGGGGGAGGGGGAGGGGGAAGGGCGCGGGAGACGGAGAGGGAGGAGTTGGGGAGAGGAGAGGGGGGAGGGAGGGGCAGGGCGGGGCAGGGGAGTCGGTTGGCGGTGGTGTGTGGGGTGGCGCGAGGGGGAAAGGGGGAAGGGAGGCAGATGGGAGGCAGGGAGGTGGAGCAACGGAAAGCGGGGGAGGGGAGAGTGCAGGGCGGCAATGCGCCAGGCAATGGCGCTGGTGGCGCTGGTGGTGGCGGAAGGGCGGCTGGCGCTGCTGGCGCAGGTGGTGATGTGGGCATTGGTCATGGCGGAGGGCCAACAGCGGCAGGCCGGGCAGGAGTGGCAGCAGGGGTAGCAAGGCCGCAGGCGCCTCTGGCAGCAGGCCCCAGGCAGCTGCAGCAGCAGCAGCAGCAGCTATGGCAGCAGCAGCAGCAGCAGCAGCTATGCCAGCAGCAACCGCAGCAACAGCAGCACTGCCACGAGCCTTTGCCGCCACCGCCACCCCCACATCAGCAGCTGAGGCAAACGCATGGGATGGTGGAGAGAGGAGCAGCAGGCGGAGCAGCAGGCGGGGCAGCAGCAGCAGCAGCAGCAGCTGTTGCTGCTGGTGCGCCTGGGAGAGGCAGAGATGGAGGCCCAGCCACTCTACCCACCACCGCCCCCTCCTCCGCACTTCAACCCCCCTTCCTCCGCCACCCTCCTCCCCACCTCCCCCACACACCATCCGCGCCCGCCGCCCTTCAATCCCCAGCCCCTCCCCCCGTCCGCGCTGCAGCAACCCCCTCCCCTCCGCCAACGCACCTCCCCTCACCACCCGCCATGCCGCCTCCCAGGCTGGACCCACCAGCAGCCGCGCCTCAACCCAGGGTAGACTCGTCCTCTATCACACCTCAACCGTTACTGTCGCTGCGGCGCTGGTTGAACCGGGCAGGCAGGGAGGTGGATAGACTCGAGAGCCTGTTCCTGTTCGCGCAGGTGGTGGACATGGTCGCTGCCGCCCACACGCAGGGCCACGTGGTTCGCCACGTGCGGCCGGCGTGCTTTGTCCTGTCTGCGCATCGAAGGGTGGTGTACCACCCGCCGTTCCTGCGGGCGCGACCCGGGGAGGCGGGGGAGGGGGAAGTGGGGGAAGGGGAGGGGGAGATGGGGGAGGATGGTGGTGGAGGGCAGGCGCGGCTGCAACAGCAGCAGCAGCAACAACAGGAGGAGGAGGAGCAACAGCGGCAGCAGCAGCAGGGGTGGCGGCAGCAGGAGGAGGGGCGCGGAGGCGGAGGGGCAGCAGAGGGGGCAGTGACGTGGAGGGAGCAGCAGGCGGAGGCATGGCAGAGGGCGATGCTGCAGGAGCAGGGGGAGGAGGGGATGGTGGCGCAGGGGCAGGGGCAGGGGCATCTGGGGCAGGGGCAAGCGGGTGGGAGGGCGGGGCGAGCAGCAGCAGGGCGGGGCATGGCAGGGCAGCAGCGATTAACCCCCGGTGCTGGAGGGGCAGAGGCAGGAGAACGCGGAGGAGGGGACATGCAGTGGGGAGGCGGAGCGGGAGGGGCAGGGGGTGAGGGGGGGAGGGCGGAGGAGGAGGAGGCACGGTGGTACACGTCACCGGAGGAGGCAAGGGGTGACCCTGTGGGGGCGGCGTCTGATGTCTTCAAGCTGGGCGTGCTCTTCTTTGAGGTGAGCCTCCTCTTTGAGGTGAGCCTCCTCTTTGAGGTGAGCCTCCTCTTTGAGGTGAGCCTCCTCTTCTTTGAAGTATTTTTGAGACGTCTGTATTTCGTCGTGCTAAAAAATTTCACCGTATGCACGAGCTGGCCGCGCTCTTCTTTGAGGCGGTCGCAGGCGGCCGGGACACAGGGGAGCGGGTTGCTGGCACTCTCTACAACGGTGCACACCCCGGCCCCAGCGCATGCGCTTCTCCTGTCATCTCATTGCATCTTTCTTCTCTACCTCTCCTCTCTCTGCTCAGTCCTCTCCCCCTCTCCTCCCCTCTCTTTTTTCTTCTCCCCACGCACCCCTCCTCTTCCCCCCTCCCCCCTCCCCCCTCCGCCCTCCCCCCTCCTCTTCCCCCCTCCCCCCACCAGCTATTCTGTCTATTCACGAGTGCCACGGAGCGCAGCGTGATAATGGCGGACCTCTGCCATCGCATCCTGCCGCCCCGCCTGCTCTCCCATCGCCCCAAGGAGGCCGCGTTCTGCCTCTGGCTGCTGCACCCGCAGCCCTCCGCCCGCCCCACCGCTTCGTAAGCCCTCTAACCCTCTTGAATCCGTGATTCCCCCACTCTTTGACCCTCGCCCCTTGAACCCCATCACCCCTTGCTCCCACTCCTCTCCCATCGCCCCAAGAAGGCCGCGTTCTGCCTCTGGCTGCTGCACCCGCAGCCGTCGGCACGACCCACTGCTCGAGAGTCCCCTAACGCCTTGTGCGCGCCTCAACGCCTCGTGATCACTCCTTGAGCCCCCTCATCCATTGCTCCCACCCACCTCAAGCCCATCGTCCCAAGGAGGCCGCCTTCTGTCTCTGGCTGCCGCACCCGCAGCCGTCAGCGCGCCTCACAGCCCATCACTGCCCCACATGCCCGGCAAGCTCATCATGCCCCACATGCCCGGCAAGCTCATCATGCCCCACATGCCCGGCATGCTCATCATGCCCCACATGCCTATCATGGCTGCCCTCACAACATGCTCTCCCATTTCTGACCTTTTCAAACGCCCTTGCCATACCCCTCTCTCTCCACGGCTGGTCTCCTTGCCCCTCCATCCTTTTCCTCTCCGTCTCCACAGGGAGGGAGGTGCGCAGCAGCCAGCTGGTGGCAGACGTAGCAAGCATGTTCGCCCACAGGGGGCAGCAGGCGGGGCTGGAGGCACAGGAGGCGGAGTGCGACGTGCTGCTCGCCTTCTTCTCGCGCATCCACCTTAAAACCCTGCCTTGTTCTCTTCCCATCGTTCCCCCATGTCTTACGCCCATCTGTTCCTCCCACCTGTTCCGCCTCATCCTTGCAGCGAGGTGCGGAGCAGTCAACTGCTGGCAGATGTGGCGAGCATGTTCGCCCACAGGGGGCAGCAGGCGGGGCTGGAGGCAGAGGAGGCGGAGTGTGACGTGCTGCTCGCCTTCCTCTCGCGAATCCACCTCGCCGAGCAGTCTGCCGCCCAGAAACTCGCTCTCGATCTCGGGCGGCTCACTGGGGATATCCATGAGGTGCACCTCAGGCGGGCGGCGGTGATGGGCGGCCAGCAGGCGCACGGGCGGCACGGGCATGGCCGGCAGGGGCACGGGCGGCAGGTGCACGTACATGGATCGGGGCAGCAGGGGCAGTCTCAGCCGCTCATGCTGCCAGCTCCGTCCACACAGACGGTAGAGGATAGGGAAGGCGGCAGACGGGGCCGCAGGGAGGGTGGCTGGGAGGGTGGGAGTGACATGAGCGGAGGGGCAGAGAGGGACCTTTGGAGTGCCTTTTCCCCCCGCTCCCCCCGCCCTGGGCTCATCCCACCCTCTCATGCCGCTGCTGCTGCTGCTGCTGACATGAGTGGAGTGGTGAGCATGGGTGGGGGAGGGCGAGAGGCGAGAGGGAGGTGGCCGGCAGGTGAAGCGGAGGAGGCACGAGAAGGGGCACGAGAAGGGGCACGGCATTTCCCTTCCTCCGTTCCTGCCGCTGCTGCTGGCGTTTCTGCTGCTCCATTCAGTATGGGACGGCCGCGGGGGGCAAGGAGGAGCGTGCGGTTACTGCGTAACCTGGACCGGTTGGAAGAGGTGTATTTCGCCATGCGCTGGAGAGTAGAGGCGGCCAATGGGGGACCTGTTGGGAGGGGGGCCGGTGCCACTGCCTCTGCCGCTGCTGCTGCTGCTGCCGCTCTGCCTGCAAACGACGCTGCAGTGCCGCTTGCTGCCCCTCGCGCTGCTGCTGCTGGCGCCGGTGTTGGTGGTGGTGGTCGCGGTGATGGTGGCAGTAGTGCTGGCGGTGCAGGTGGGATTGATGGTGGCGGTGGTGGTGGCAGTGTTGGGGGGGATGATGAGTCGAGTCAGGGTGTGGTGAGGCCAAGAGAGGTGATGGAAGGGGGAGCAGAGGACAGAAGAGGCGAAGGTACAGGCTCAGAGGCGGAGGCAGGGCAGGCCAGGGCAGCAGCACCCGCTTCGACTGCTGCTGCCGGGGCAGTGGTTGGTGCAGGGCGGGCAGCAGCACCAGCAACAGCGGCAGGAAGAGCAGGCGGAGCGATGGCAGCGCCACAGCAGCAGCAGCAGCAGCAGCAGCAGCATGTGCACGAGCAGCAGCAGGGAGGTGCGGAGGGCAGCAGGGACCTACTGGGCGAGTTCTTCGACTCGCTCTGCAAGTTCGCGCGCTACTCGCGCTTCGAGGTGCGCGCCACGCTGCGCCACGCGCACCTCCTCAACGCCGCCTCCATGGTCTGCTCCCTCGCCTTCGACCGCGACGCGCAGTTCTTCGCCACGGGCGGCGTCTGTCGGCGGATTCGGATCTTTGAGTGTGAGAGCGTGCTGGCCGGGCGGCGAGTGGACGTGCACTATCCGGTGGTGGAGATGGGCTGCCGGGCCAAGCTGTCGTGTGTGAGCTGGAACGGGTATATCAAGAACCGGCTCGCCTCCGCGGATTACGACGGGGTTGTGCAGGTGAGCAGTGGGGTGGGGGAAGGAGGGGGATTGGGTGGAGGGAGAGCACTGGCATGGGGCAATGGCGTGTTGGGGTGCGAGCATGAGGAGCGAGCGTGAGGAGCGAGCATGAGGAGCGAGCATGAGAAGCGAGCATGAGGAGCGAGCATGAGGAGCGAGCATGAGAAGCGAGCATGAGAAGCGAGCATGAGGAGCGAGCATGAGAAGCGAGCATGAGAAGCGAGCATGAGAAGCGAGCATGAGAAGCGAGCATGAGAAGCGAGCATGAGGAGCGAGCATGAGGAGCGAGCATGAGGAGCGAGCATGAGGAGCGAGCATGAGAAGCGAGCATGAGAAGCGAGCATGAGAAGCGAGCATGAGGAGCGAGCATGAGAAGCGAGCATGAGAAGCGAGCATGAGGAGCGAGCATGAGAAGCGAGCATGAGAAGCGAGCATGAGAAGCGAGCATGAGAAGCGAGCATGAGAAGCGAGCATGAGGAGCGAGCATGAGAAGCGAGCATGAGAAGCGAGCATGAGAAGCGAGCATGAGAAGGGAGCATAGAGTGATGCTCAGGGCAGCTCAATCCACTGACCTCCTTTTTTCCTCTATCCCCTCCCGTTTTCCCCTCTTCAGCTGTGGGATGCGGGCACGGGAGCGGCGGTGATGGAGTGGGGGGAGCATGAGAAGCGAGCGTGGAGTGTGGACTTCTCTCCCTGCGATCCCACGCGCCTTGCCAGCGGCAGCGATGACGGCACTGTCAAGCTGTGGAGCATCAACCAGGTGGGCATGAACCAGGTGGGCATGAACCAGGTGGGCATCAACCAGGTGGGCATCAACCAGGTGCCGCATGCTGATTGGTTGCATCAACCAAGTGGGGCGTGCTGATTGGTCGAATTAGGTTGAACTGCATTAGGTTGAACTGCATTAGGTTGAACTGCATTAGGTTGAACTGCATTATGTTGAACTGCATTAGGTTGAACTGCATTAGGTTAAACTGCATTAGGTTGAACTGCATTAGGTTGAACTGCATTAGGTTGAACTGCATTAGGTTGAACTGCATTAGGTTGAACTGCATTAGGTTGAACTGCATTAGGTTGAACTGCATTAGGTTGAACTGCATTAGGTTGAACTGCTTTAGGTTGAACTGCATTAGGCTGAACTGCATTAGGTTGAACTGCATTAGGTTGAACTGCATTAGGTTGAACTGCATTAGGTTGAACTGCTTTAGGTTGAACTGCATTAGGCTGAACTGCATTAGGTTGAACTGCATTAGGTTGAACTGCATTAGGTTGAACTGCATTAGGTTGAACTGCATTAGGTTGAACTGCATTAGGTTGAACTGCATTAGGTTGAACTGCATTAGGTTGAACTGCATTAGGTTGAACTGCATTAGGTTGAACTGCATTAGGTTGAACTGCATTAGGTTGAACTGCATTAGGTTGAACTGCTTTAGGTTGAACTGCTTTAGGTTGAACTGCATTAAGTTGAACTGCATTAGGTTGAACTGCATTAGGTTGAACTGCTTTAGGTTGAACTGCATTAGGTTGAACTGCTTTAGGTTGAACTGCATTAGGTTGAACTGCTTTAGGTTGAACTGCACAATCAGTACGCAGGAAGTTGTGGTACGGAGTGTGCAAAGCTGTGGGGCATCAAGCAGGCGATTCAAAATCCTCCACTGCTTCGATCTGCGCTCCCCCTCTTCCCTTCCTATGCTCTATTCACACGCTTGCCTCTCCCTCTCCTCTCCCGCCCCTCCTTCGCTCCTCTCCCTCTCCCTCTCCGCGTCTCCCCCTCTCTCGCTGTCCTCCTCTGCAACCCCTCCCGTGTCAGGACACGAGTGTGGGCACGATTCACACCAAGGCCAACGTGTGTTCGGTCGCCTTCCCCCCGCACTCCTCGCACCTGCTCGCCCTCGGCTCGGCCGACTACTCGCTGCACTGCTTCGACCTGCGCTCGCTCCGCGCGCCCCTCGCCACGCTCACGGGCCACAGCAAGGCTGTCAGCTACGTGAAATTCGTCGATGCTTCGACAATCGTCTCTGCCTCAACAGACAACACTCTGAAGCTGTGGGACTTGAACCAAGCATGCAGTCAGCAGGCGGGGGGAGGGGCTGATGGGGCCTCTGCTTGCACGAGGACGTTCACTGGCCACACAAATGAGAAGGTGGGTGGTTCTTAAGAGTTCATCGTGTGTCTGCCTCTGCGGACAATACTCTCAAGCTGTGGGATCTGAACAGTGCGTGTAGTCAGCAGGCGGGGGGGGGGGGAGTGGGGCGGATGGGGGCTCTGCGTGCAGGAGGACGTTCACGGGGGGGGCACACCAATGAGAAGGTGGGGTGTGGCGGTGTATGGTGTGGTGTGGCTTCTGTAGCTGGTGGGCACCAAGTGCTGTTACGTCCGCTGCTCCTGTCACGACCACCTGTTCGTTTATAACTCACTAGTTCTCATGCCAGGGTTAATTCTTTCGCCTGTTTCTTGCTTCTTCGCTCATTCGTCTCTCGCTTGTCACCTTCTATCTCTCCTGTCCCTCTCCCAGCCACACATCGCGTCCCCCTCAGCTCTCGTGTCCCTCTGTCTCGGCGGAATCACGTGGGGCTCACTGCAGCTGGTGGTTACGAGTTTTGAGGCGCCGCAGAACTCCCCGCTGCACAACTCCCCGCCGCACAACTCTCCACCGCAAGACTCCCCTCCGCAGGACTCCCCTCCGCACAACTCCCCACCGCAAGACTCCCCTCCGCAGGACTCCCCTCCGCAGAACTCCCCTCCGACCTCACATCGCAATCCCCCATCTCCTGTGTCTCCCTGTCCTGGCAGAGCGTGGTGGGGCTCAGTCAGTGTTGGTCATCCGCCTGTAGCGTTGCTCATTCCTCATGTCCCGTGCTGCTCCCCGTGCTTCCCGTGTCTCCCTGTCCCGGCAGAACCTTGTGGGGCCCACGGTTGCTGATGGCTACATGGCATGCAGCTCACTCTTCCTGTCTCGCACCTCTCCTCTCTGACCTCGCGTCGTGCTCCCCCCACCTCCCATCTCTCCCTATCCCGGCAGAATTTTGTGGGGCTCACTGTGGCTGATGGCTACATCGCATGCGGCTCCGAAACTAACGAGGTATGCGCTGTGCTGTGCTCACGAGGACTGGTCTCCCTTGCATGCCTTGAGCCGTGCCGTGCAGCATTCTCTGTCCCGACTCCCCTCCACCACTCCTTGTGTGCGCCACCATCCCGTTCTGCCTCACTCATTTGAGGCGCCTCAAAACCCGTTGTGCCTCTCACTGTTGTTCCACGATCCGAATCTGCAATCCATTTCACCGTCCATTTGTGCCCAATCACACACCCCCTCTCCGCCTGTCTCCGATCCATCTCCCTCCCCATCACCGCTCCTCTCCCAGGTGTTTGCGTTCCACAAGTCGCTGCCAATGCCCATGGCAGCACACCGCTTTGGGGGGGTTGATCCGGTCACAGGCGCGGACACGGAGGAGGATGCGGGGCAGTTTGTGTCGAGTGTGTGCTGGCGGGGTGACTCTCAAACACTCGTTGCTGCGAATTCTACTGGGAACATTAAACTGCTGGAGATGGTGTGAGGATGGGGGGAGGGAAAGAGAGAGAAAGGGGAGAGAGTGGGGGCCAGGTGGGCTGTCTGCTGATGGGAATGGTGTGAGGGGCGGTTCCCAGGGAGGAGAAGGGGGGATGCATAGGTGGGAGCACAGTGGTGTGGGCGCTGACACGGAGGAAGGGGGGATGCAGCGATGGGAACTCCACTGATTACCCAACTGCTGGAGACTGTGTGAGGGGGGGTGCTGGAAGTAAGAGAATCTCAGCCTTGCTGGGGTGAGGGTTGAGGAAGCAAGCTTGGGGGGTGATACCGGTACATGAAGGCACTAGGAGGAGGATTCAGGAGGGCACATGCACCTGCAGCTGCTGCTGCTGTTTAATTCCACCAGCGATGTAAAGCTGCTAGAAATTGGTGTGGCAGGTGCTTCTTCTAAGGGTCCTCCAATCGCTGGTTGGAAGCTGAATGTGCTCTCAGGGGTTGTACTCTAGGTGTGTACGGCATGGCTTAGCTAGGTCCATGTCGTAGGCAACAAATTCTAAGAAAGTTATATTTCTATTGTGCATCCTATTTGTGAAACGAAATGATGTTTCTGCGAGTAATTTTATTATTCTAGATATCATTACCACATCACAAACCTTGATGCAACAGCATGGTGAAATTACTAGTTAGCGTGGACGATTTGTTGTACAATGTACTAAATTTGCTCTCTCAAAAAGAAGAGACCTGCGGATATCGAATCGAACCTCAGAAACCCCACCCACTCGCTTGATCTCGTTCCTTTCTGCTACTACTCTTGATTATTCCCCCTCTTCCCGTAGCCCGTCCTTACCTTCGTCCCCTTAGCCTTGCCGTACCCTTCTTCTGCCACTCCGCCGCTAATCTTCCGCTGGTTTCTTTCGCCAGCCTTCCGCCAGTTTTCCGCCAGTCTTCCGCCGATCCCCCGCCCAGTCCGCCGCCAGGCGCCATGAGTGCGGAGGAGCTGCAGCCGCCGCGCGTGCTACCGACGGTGCCGGAGACGGTGCTGAAGAAGCGGAAGAAGGACGAGCAGTTCGCGGCGGAGAAGCGCGAGCAGTTCCTGCAGAAGCACGCGCACCGCGGGAAGCGCGGAAAGGCAGAGAAGCGCTTCAAGCGCCCAGAGGACTTCGTGCTCGCGTTCCGCCGGAGGGTGCGTGCGCGCGGGGGGGTCAGCATGCGCGGTTGCGGATTCCTCTGCCGGGAATTTTCTCCTTTTTTTTTAAACGCAACCTTCTGTCATACTGTTTCAACATTCTATTGGAAAATAGCTGACCGGGTTTCGCGGTCCAGCGGCGTGCCACTCACGCCGCAACTCACGCGTGTGGAGGGAAGGGTACGCGCGCGCCAGCTCGACGGACTGATGATCTTGCGGATATTTGCGAAAAAGGGCCGCACGTTTAGGACAGGCGCGGCGTGTACAGCCTTACACTTAGGTTGCGTCGGCGTGCGTCGCAGATTTATCTAAACCCTTATGGACAGGCTCGGCGCGCAGGGGGGTGTCTTTGAATAACTCGCTGGACCGAGTTGGAGATCAGGGTTGAGGGCTGCATGTGTAGGGTTTAACGTGCCAGCAGTCGGTGGATGTTGATGACTGGGAGAGTGGTGCGGACTGCCCCTGGTTCGAATACCAGGGTTTTAGGAGCTAGGGCATAAGGGTTCGGGTTTTGGTGACCACCGGTTTTCTCCCACCCACCCCTCCCTCCTGTCCGTTCTCCTTGCAACGGGAGCGACGCTCGCGGCTGGTAAAACGTGATGGGGCAACGCGTGGTTTCGGAGTTGGGCGTTTGCGTCAAGTTCCCCTCTATTCCCCCCTCCCTCCCTCTCCCCGCGCGCTTCCGCTTCCGCTTTCCCACGTCCGCAACAGGAGCGCGATGCTAAGCGCGTGCGCGCGGACCAGGTGGTGGGGCGGCGGGTGCAGCTGAAGCCGGTGGTGGCGGGCGGGGGGAGCGCGGCGCAGCGGAGGCTGGCGCGGCGGAAGCTGAAGGCGGCGCAGAAAGCGGCGGAGCGGATAAGCTCGGGGAAGGGGGAGGACAAGGGGGGCGTTTTGGCGGGGACGAACCTGAAGCTGCTGTTTGCCGTGCGGATCCGCGGGTAAGTGGGGGATGGGGGAGGAGTAGGGGGGGAGTTGAATGGAGAGGGGAGAGGTGGGCGAGAGTAGAGAGTGAATGGCAGGGAGGAGTGAGAGTGAGTGTGGGGATGAGTGAGGGCTGCAGTGCATTATCACACGGCGCGCTTTGACACATATTCGCCATTGTTGCGTCGACATGGCCATTGCGTGTTAATCATCGCATTTTCATTCTTTACTATCTAACCCTAGTATTCCCACTTGTATCTGGTTGCCTCTCTGTTTACCCAATCATCTCCACGTGTGTGCAGGGTGCAACACGAAATGACGAAGCAGTCGCGGAGTATACTCAAGATGCTCCGACTTACAGAGGTAACCACACTGCTGCCGCCGCTGCCGCGGCCGCCGCCGCCGCCGCCGCTGCTGCTGCTGACGCGGTTAATTACTAGATCCGCGCAGGTGGCTGTGGAGTCCCCATGGCATTCCCCCACACACGCGCCCTAATTGTCGTTCGCTCCCTCCGTCCCCTCCTTCCCTCTCCCCCCTCCTTATCCGCGCACCTCTCCCCCTACACACACACACACCTCCTCCCTTTCGCTCTCTCTCCCCTCCCTCACCTTCCCCTCTGCAGCTCAACTCGGGCGTCTTCCTGCGAGCCACGGACCGCACGGCTCAAATGCTGCAACTCGTCGAGCCCTACGTCACCTTCGGGTGCGCCCTCCCTCCTTTCTGAAATGCCTCCTTCCCTCCCTCCCTCTTTCCCTCTTTCCCTCCCTCCCTCCCTCCCTCTTTCCCTCTTTCCCTCCCTCCCTCCCTCCCTCCCTCCCTCCCTCCCTCCCTCCCTCCCTCCCTCCCGCCTTTCCTCCCTCACTCCCTCACTCCCTATTGTAACACCACCACCACCCCCTTCCAATTTCCTCTCTCTCTCTCAGTTCCCACTCCTGTGTTCCGTTCCTTCCCTCTCTTTCACCCTCTCTCCCCACCCTCACTCTCTCTTGCTCTGTTCCCCCCGTGTCTTCATCTCGATTTCTTTGCCCTCTCCTCCCTCCTCTCTCTCCCTCGCTCTTTTCCATAACCAGCTTTAATCGTTGCACGCTTCTCACCCTTTCCTTCCGGCTCTCTCTTTTTCCTCTCGGGTTCCTGAACCTGCACCCACTCTCACCCACTTCCCCTCATCCTAGTTCCCCCACCACCCCCCCACACACTTCCCCCATCTTCCAGATTCCCCAACCTTTCATCAGCGCGCGCGCTCATATTGAAGCAAGGCGTGGGCGCACTTCCCTGCCTCCCCCTCCCCCCTTACCCTCCTTCCCCCATCTTCCCGCATCAACCCACTGTATACTCCCAACCCCCACTCAGGTTCCCCAACCTATCCTCAGTGCGCGCGCTCATTATGAAGCGAGGCGTGGCACGCATACGGCAGCAAGAGGAGGGGGAAGGTGACGACGAGGGGGAGGAAGGCGAAGAGGGGGAAGACGCAGGGGAAGGGGAGGAGCAAGCGGAGGGGGATGAGGAAGCAGAGGGGGACGAGGGAGGGGAGGGAGAGGCCAAAGAGGTGGAAGCAAGGCAGGGGGGAGCAGCAGAAGGGGCAGGGGGTAGTGGGGCGATGGTGGTGGGAGAGCCTAGAAAGCCGGAGGCGATGGTGGGGTGGACGGGGCCGGTAAATCCAGAGGAGGAGGCCAAGGGGTGGCGGCGAGTGCCGCTCACTGACAACGCTATTGTTGAACAGGTGAGCTGGTAGTTGTTGCCTGTTTCAGGCACTTTAGAACCTGCATGGGAAGGCAGAGGCGGTGGTGGGGGCGCCTAGGAAGGAGGAGGCGATGGCGGGGTGGACGGGGCCGGTGGATGCAGCAGAGGAGGCCAAGGGGTGGCGGCGAGTGCCCCTCACTGACAACGCTATTGTTGAACAGGTGAGCTTACGTTTCTGAGATGTCTAAAAGTTGGGAGTTTTGAGCTTGCCGTCTCAAAACTGGATGGGGAAGGGGGGGGCTAAGGGGTGGGTGGCGGCGAGTGTCCCTCGCTGACAACGTTATTGTAGAGCAGGTGGGCTTTAAATCGAGTGCTGGTGCTCCATTACTCCCCTTCAATTTCTCACACTCCTCTGCTGCTTTGCCCCACGCCCCTCGCTACTTGCTTCGCTCCCTGCAGGCACTAGGCAGCACAGGCATCATCTGTATCGAGGATTTGATTCACGAGATCGCTACAGTGGGGCCGCACTTCCTGCAAGTGACTGGCTTTCTTTGGCCTTTCCGCCTCGCCGCTCCCAGGGGCAAGTTCAGCAAGGCCGGGTGGTTCAACAAGGGAGGGGAGGCTGGGAATAGGGGAGTTGAGATCAATGACCTCATTCGCCAAATGGCATGATATTGGTGTTTGTTTGATAATGGTTTTCTTTGTTATTTTGCTGCAATGATTAGATTGTGTCATTTCTTTCTAGGATGTTGCCATTGCCATACCTGTGAACTCCAAGCTGGAGGAATGATGGTAAGGGTGTACGGTAACAATCTTATCCAACCGTTCCATGTGCGTGTAATCATTCGTAAGTGCAAACACCCTAGTAAGTGTTGGAAACAATCGGTCCTAAGCGCCTCTGTCGTGTCAAAACACCAAGTCAGAAGCGAAGCGAAGTATATCGAAGCACCGGCGAGTCAACCCTCGGAGGTTGAGCGGTTGCTAGAGGTTACGCGAAAGTCAAAGGTCAGCGACCTTTGACCTGACAAGTACAGCACGACAGCAAGGACACACAACTGACTCGCTACAGAGCAGTTGCCCGAGTCGTCGCTGTATCGAACCGCAACAGCAACAGTAAAGTAGTTATAACCGTATCTCTTCGTATTCCTTGTACTCTTATATAATCCTGTATCTCTTTGCTTTCATCAACTTACTTTGCCCTCACATACTAGCGCAAGGTGGTTCACAACCCTTAAATTTGTTGGGCTGAGTGCCCTTTAGGATCTTTGGTAGAGTTAAAGTCTGAGTAAAGTGATGTAGTAGCGGAAGCGTTTTAAGTAAGGTATTTGAACCACCTTGTGCTAGTATGTGAGGGCAAAGTAAGTTGATTAAAGCAAAGAGATACAAGAATATATATACGAATACAGAGAATATGAAGAGACATTATAACTACTTTACTGTTGCGGTTTGATACAGTGCGACTCGGGCAACTGCTCAATGTCGAGTCGGTTGTGTGTCCTTGCTGTCGCGCTGCATTTGTCAGGTCAAAGGTCGCTGACCTTTGACTTTCACGTAACCTCCAGCGGTTACATCAACCTCCGAGGGTTGACTCGCTGGTGCCTCCATATGCGCTGCTTCGCTTGTGTCTTGGTGTTTCGACACGACAGAGGCGCTTAAGATTGTTTGTTCCCAACACTCCCCTTCGCTTCTGGAGTGTCGCTGATGGTGACGTGGCTTTGTCCAGTCAGCAGCATGCAGTACTCGAACTTCTGTTTTCCGAGCTTCTTGGTCAAGTAGTCAGTTGCCATCTCGGACGTGGGACAGTAGGATAGTTCAAGTTTCCCCTTCTCGATCTCATCTTTCACGAAGAAGTATCGCAGAGCGATATGCTTCGTTCTGTTCGCGAATCCACTTTTGTTGGCGATGCGAATCGCAGATTGGTTGTCGCAGAACAAAGTGAAGTTGGGTAACTCGGCTAGCTTCGCTTCTTCCAGCAGCTCGCGAAGATGGAGTCCTTCCTTGGTGGCTGAGCAGAGTGCAATATATTCTGCTTCAGCTGACGAGAGAGCGATTAGTTCCTGCTTGCTCGATTGCCAGGAGATCGGTCCGATAGGTTCGAGGCGGTAGATGTAGCCAGTGCGGGAGCGCCTATTGTCTGAGTCGCCAGCGTGATCTGCGTCGACGTAGCCGATTAATTTCGTCGGTGTAGTTGTGTTCTTGTAGTAGGTCAGACCGATCGTAGAGGTACTGACGAAGTAGTGGAGAGCGCGGTCGAGCTCCGCCAAGTGTTCTGCTTCAGGTCTTTTGAGGTAGGTGGCGAGTTGGCTTGCGGAGTAGGATAGATCTGGGCGGCAGGTGACGGCTGCAAAGAGAAGGCAGCCCAGCTTTCTCTGGTAGTCGCGTATCCCGGCGGATTAAAGTAGAGAGGATCCTTCATTGTGGTTTCCTGTCGTGTAGCGGTAGGGCGTAGAAATGGTGGTAGGTGTGAGCGCGAAGCGTTTGGCGATGGTGTCGGCGTACTTAGCGGCGTTGAGGTAGATCGCGCCTTCTTCTTCCCGAATGTTTAAGCCGAGATACTGTGTGACGCTAGAAGAGACCGTGAGTGTGAGGTCCTTCTGTAGCTCCCCTTCGAACCAGGTGGTGATGTCGTCACTAGAGCCGATGTAGAGTAAGTCGTCTACGTAGACGATCAACAGAATGTAGTCGGTGTCTTTGGTGAGTCGGTACATCCCTTGGTCGTGAGGCAGTTGACGGAATCCGATGCGAGTGAGGCGAGCGTGTAGGTACTGTTGCCATAGCCGCGGAGCTTGCTTGATCCCGTAGAGCGATTTCCGCAGTTGACAGACTTGGTTCGGTTCCCCGTGGATACCATGTGGGAGCTCGACGAAGATTTCCGCGTCGACAGGTTCGTAGAGGAACGCGTTGGCGACATCGATTTGCCGTAGCTTCTTCTTCATCATAGCGGCGATCGCGAGGAGAATTTGAAGTGAGGTATGTCGGCTGACCGGGGCGAATGTCTCGGTGAAGTCCCGTCCGTGCTCCTGATCGAATCCACGCACAACCCAGCGTGCTTTGAATTTCTCAATTGTGCCGTCTGCTTTCGTTTTAATGCGGAAGACCCATTTCCCGGTGAGAATGGTCTTATTCCTTGCCACGCTGATGGGGACAATTTTCCAGGTGTTCCGTTCCTCCAGCGCCTTTAACTCTCTGTCCATGGCTTCACGCCATTTTTCCCTGTATTCCCCCCCCAGAGCCTGCTGAACCGTCGCAGGCTCCTCAGGTAGAGAGGTGCCGTGGACTGTGGTGACGAGGCCGAGAATCTGCAGTCCAGTCTGTGAGTAGCGGGGAAGTGTTGTGTCCTCGGGATAAGCTGCTTCGTCTCCCGCTTCTGGGTCGGGTATGAAATTCGGCCCTATCCGTTCTGCTTCGTGGGTGTTGGCTGTCGCAGGTGTTACGTAACCGTTGTCGGCGAAGTGGTAGAAGACTTCGGCGTTGGCGCTTTCGCGAGGGTTGTCTTCGTCCATGGGGACGTTGACGGAGCAAAACGGGAGAGGTCCGGCTTCTTCTGGTGCGTTGTCCACATTCTGCTCGTCCCAGTCTGCTTCGTCCGCTGCTGAGGCGAAGGCTCGGTCACCACGAAAGCCACCTGTGGGATCTTCATTATCGTGCAAGTTGGCAAGGTATGTCTGAAGCGTGAGTCGTTCGTAGAAAATTACGTCACGTGCTGCTACTGTTTTCTTGGAGTGGACGTCGAAGATTTTCCACGCGTTGTAGTTCTTTTCGATGCCGAGGTGCAGTCCCCACTGTGCGTGTTGTGAAAATCTTCCCGCTCGTGCTTCTGGGGGCCGGTACTGTACCATGCACCCGAAAACTCGTAACATTTTTGGGCTGCCCTGTTTCCCTGTCCACAGCAGATGCGGTGACGCGTTGTTCGGAAGTGAAGACGACGACATCAAGTTGTGGAGCATGACGACGTGGTCCATTGCTGCAGGCCACTGGTGGTTGGGTAGTCGCATGCCACGTAACAGTTTGCGCATGCTGTTCTGCAGAGTCGTGTTCATTCTTTCTGCCACACCTTGCTGCTGATGGGCGTAGGGAAGAGAGAGGAGCTGCTTGATTCCCCTTTCCGCCAGGTACTGCTTGAATCGCTGAGAAGTGTATTCTCCCCCTCCGTCTGACTGGAAGCTTTTCAGTTGTGCGCCCGACTCCCTCTCTGCTACTGGTAGCCAGGCAGCGAAGGCTGCGAGTGCCATGTCGCGGCTGGGCAGGTTAAGGTGCCAGACGTAACGGGTGGCGGAGTCGATGAGGGTGATCGTGTAGTTGTATGTAACTTGTCCTGGTTCCCAATTGAAAAGGATATCGCTGTACACCTTCTCGAGTGGTGCGTACGCGGGTGCGCTCGGGTTGTGATGAGGAATGAACGGCCGATGTGGTAAGTCGGCTTCGGGGCAGGTAAGACAAGTTCCTCGTGCTCGTTGAAGTTCTTTGCCGTCGAGTAGTAGTAATGAGTCCTTGTCAAGGACTCCTGCTCTTATTGTGTTGTTTAACACAGTGTTGCTTGGGTGTCCCATGCGTGCGTGCCAGATGTCTTCGGAGGCGCGGTGTCCGGGTGAGCGTTGATACGCGTCGGAGTTGGAGTAGAAGCTGGCGATGAAGTTTGCGCTTCTGTGGACTTCCCGTTGAGTTGGATTTAGCTGCTGTGCGGGTGTTGGTGGTGCTTCGTCAACGAGGACTGGTGTCGTTGTTCCTGCTGCTGCCGACGATGTTTTTGCTGCTGCTGATGTTGTCTCTGCTGCTGCTTCTGCTGCTGCCGATGTTGTCTCTGCTGCTGCCAAATGTTGTATTGTTACTAACGCACGTGTTCGTTCTGCTTCAGGAATGGTATGTGAATACCAGAAGCCTTCCGGACTGAAGTCGGGGTCGAGATCCGGCGGGTGCGTCAAGGATGTGAAGGTGACGATCCCGTCACTGTCTGCGGTGCCCAGGTCTGGGACGAAGTCGAGGACGAAGACATTGTTCTTCAGAATCGCCTTTCCGATGTAGAGGCCGCCCTTCCCGTGGTACAGTTTGAACTCCTAGGTGGTACTGTCGGCTTCCAGATGTATGCCTTTCGCCATCAACTGACTGACGCTCAGTAAGTTGTAACCAAGACCTTCTGCTATCAGGACTTTTGACATTTGCAGTACAACATTTGTCTCTCGTGACTGAAGTTGCACTACCCCTTGCCGTCGTGTGCGCAGGTTCTGGTTATTGGCGACAGTGATGACTGTCAGAGTATTATGACTGATGCATGTTTGTAGGCTATAGTGGGGTAGCACATATGGGGTACAGCTTTCTAGGGTTGTATTTGTACCCAACTCTGACTTAGTCATTTCATTCCTGTTTTCCTTGCTTCACATGGTATAGAGCGGGTCCTGCCTTAGGACCGTTTTTTTTAGGGCCCACCGAAGCGCGCCCCGAGGCGCGCCCTTTTTTTTTTTTTTTTAGCGACCCCTCGGGTCGCCTTTTCCCTCGCGGCCCCGCTGTCCCTCAGACGCGGCCCCGCCACCTCTCCTGATCGCGGCCCCGCCGCCTGCTTGACGCAGTCCTGCCGCCTCCCCTGACGCGGCCCCGCCTCTACTGCCGCGGCCCCGCCGCCGCCTCTGACGGCCCCGCCGCTGCACCCTACGGCCCGCTGCTGCACCCTACGGCCC